ACCAAGGCATCAATTCTAATAAGAAGAGAGCTTGAAAGCTACCTTTGGGGTGTGCTACGCTTCTAAGAAAACCTATCAGCAATCAAATGCCATTGTTGTAAGAATTATTTTCCTCAAGGTGAAACTGACATTTTTCTCTCTGTACCCATCAAGACATTTCTCCTCTAGTTCCTATGGCTCTTTTTACAACAAACGTAATTTTGTTTGTTTTTCACTGCTTATTTGTTGTGCCGGCTTTTTATCAGTGCAATTTGTACTTTAATTCTCTTTTATGATAGCATATATGTTTGTTTCTCAGAATCTGTTTGAACAATTTATTTGTTCTGGATCTGCATCCATAGTCAATCTTGGTATTCAGTGTGGAATATTTATTTTTTGATGAAAGCATTTTTTGTCCTACCTGATAAAATGTCTGCTACATCTTTATTGTAGTAAAAGTTTCAGTCCTTTTGTTGCAGTCATGCCATATTATGATTTACTTCTTCCTAAATATTTTATTAGCTGTTTCTGCCAGCAAATTCTCAACTTGACAATATCATAATCTGAATTCAGATTGCATTTTGATCTCTCGTAAAGATATTTTCGTTACTTTGTTTTTTCTCTGCAGCCATGCCTTAACAAATAGTTTGTCCACTAAAGAAATATTGTTTTGAAACTAATCTTGCTAAAAAGAATCCTGAAGCAAAATGTGTGTCCTTTATACACATCTTCTAATATAAACTTTTAATTCCACCTACATGCCTCATATTACGTTTCAGTTATTAATATCTTCCTTTCTTAATTCATCAAATATTTATTTGTTCAGCAAAAATTTTTGACACCTATGGGTTAGGTGCTTTGAGAAACAAATATAAAATATGTTAAGAATTGATTTTTATTTTAAGCCTCCAAGGACTACAAAGTTATACAGTGGGAAGGTTGCTGATTTGCCCAGGGTTCAGTTCTTTGGTTTCATGAAAGTCAAATGATGGATTGGATAATGAAAGCCTTCAGTTACTCACTTGGAGCCTCTGGTACCCTCATTTCAGGGTGATTTTCAGTCATCTCATCTCTCAGTTCCAATTAGAAAACCAAAATCATCCTACATAGTCTCACTTGGTGAAGTGAATGAAAGCAATTGCTTCCACAGCTTGTGGGGGTCTTTGATAAACTGAAGAGCAGATGTTGGAACCTCCTAGACTTAGCTGAAAGCAGAGTCAGTGGGAACTTCTCTGAAAGTGAGAGAAGATGAAGAAGAAAGCAGTTATGGACCCAAGAGTTGAGAAGTATTGTTGAATTTGCTTGGTAGAAATGGTGTAAGTTGTATACAAGGCAAAAAGAGAAGGAAAAGGACACCAGCACGCCAGTCTTTCCCAGTGCCTCCCGCCTACTGGTAGGGCAGAACGGCATACAGGCTGACCACAGTGCTGGAGGACACGGCAGCCCTAGTGGTGGTCTACAGAGAGAATTTGACTCTGCAGCTAATTGCTTTTAAATGCATCGCTCTTTAAAAAACAAACAAATAAACAAACAAACCAACTTTTTTGCAATAATGTTTGTTAGCATGTTTTTATTATTATTATTATTATTATTATTATTATTATTATTATGTCTTTGGTCAACATTTTTTCTCTATAGACTTTACCGTGAAGAAATTCTACAACTTCAGAACTGATTAGAATCAGTCAAAGAAGCTGGTATGTACATTGTGCATCTAATTCGTAAAACACAGAAACTGGGAAGACATTGAAAGGGAACAGTTATTTCACTTCTGTCATTGTATTGCAACTGACAGTTTTAGTAGTGCTTAAAAAGTTAAAACAATAAAATAGCAGGGTTAAAAAATGACTTTGAAAAACATGCCTTGTTGAATCTGGGTCTTAGGAGAGAAGCCCCACTTAAATTTGTAGCAAATACAAGCAGTTAAATCTATGAATGTTAGAGATCTTATGGCATAAATAGCATCTATCAACCATCACCTACCTACTTTTATCTATTGTATTTTTGTCTACCTACCTGATTGTCTACATTACCAATCACCTTTACTATGTACATCAATCATCTAGTACCTCATCTCACCAGCATCTATCTCTCATTCCATCCTCTTTCTAAATATCATCCACCTACCATATATCTACCCATTGTCTATCTGTCTAATCTGTACCTACTTAACTGCCTACCTTTCTATCTAAGTTTGCTAGGGATGCCATATCAAAGACAAGAAAATTTAAAAAACAGAAATTTATCTCCTCTCAGTTCTGGAATCTAGATGTCATGGTGTTGACAGAGTTGGTTCCTTATGATGGCTGTGAGAGCAAGATTTATTCCCAGGTTTCTTTAACGGTTTCTAGATGACTCTTTTTCCTATGTCTTCATATTGTTTTTCCCCTATACTTGTGTATTAACTTCTCTTTTATAAGAACACCAGTCTTATGTTTGATTAGATCTCAGTCTAGTGACTTCATTTTAACCTAATTACTTCCACAAAAACCATCTCTAAATAAAGTCATATCTTAATCTGCTGGAGTTATGACACCAATACATGAACTGATGATGGTGACACATTTCAGTCAAGAGACAATCTATCATCTCTCTGTGTAGCAAGAGTAGTAACTGTTCAGGACTTATACAACTGTTCAGGACTTATAAACAATCACTTTTATTCTTAAGAGGTGCTTTATCTCTATTAGTAATTAGGAAGATCAGCAAGTGAAACTAGTAATGAACAGACTCAATATTCAAATATTCAATTGGCTTTACAGGTGCTTTTAAATTCTTTGGCGATGGAAACTTTTTCTTTTTCTTGTTGCTTCTACCTGATGGGATCCTCTCCCTTCCCACTGTTAGCACACCACTGCACAGCCCCTGAGCATCGCCCTCTGTGGGACCCAGATTAGTGCAGATTAAGAGTGAAGGATGGGTCTGAGGTCAAACAGCTCACGAATGGGTCATTAGATAAATGTGCTAATATTTTTGCTAACTCTCCAGGTCCTGAAGTCTAGGCCTCTGAGTCTGACACTCTTAGGGGACAGTACATGTGTTTCTTTTGCTCTTGTGGTGGCTATGGCAATTTGGTAAGATTATTATTGGCCTTTTAAGCTAAGTACATTATAGGCATGTCTCATTCCTCAGCATGGGTAGGATCTGTTCACATAGTGGACTATCCTGAGTCAGGCCACAGTTCATATCTATCCTTGGACTGTCTTCCTTAGGAAGACCTATCTGAGACTTTATCATTTTTCTACGACCCAGGCCCTAGGAGCAGGGCTAGGAGGAGACCGCCTGGCTCCTGTCCTACAGAAATCCATTGTTTTGCAGGTGCTCTTCATTGTGCTTCTTTTTGTTTATCCTCATAGAATTAAATCATTGCATAATCTTAAGAGCAATGAAATATTGGCTCCCAAGTGATTGACCCGTACTATTCTTTGCCCAGAGTCTCCTTAAGTTCATACTTTGAGACTCAAACACCAGCAACCATCTTTACGTTTCTTAGTTCCATTGTTTTATCTCTTTCTCAGGGAAGGAAGCCACATTAGCTAAAATCTCAAACTGCTATCTTGTCTGCAGATTGGTTCTTTACCACTCTTCAAATATGTATTAAATCTAGATCAATAACCACATTTGGCTTCCTTTCTTCTCTGTGTAAGCTATGTGCCAAGTCACGCAACTTTGTAAATTTCAATTCTTTTGGTTGAAGTATCTTAGCACTGAAATATATACACTGTCCACACCTTGTGGTGATTCTTAGCAGAGAGCCCCAAGCAATGGTTAAAATTATGTCAAGATTTTTTGTAAAGGAAAGGAACTATTATCATGAATTTTGTAAACTACAAAAGAATCATACTTTTGAACCATCTTTGACCATGTGTACTTGGATAATATTATGCCATAACAATTTATTTTTCCTGTCTCATATTTTTCTTTCTTTCTGAGATTCTCACTCTACAATGTAGTTAGCTATGCATTTCACTGTGTTTATAGCAAACTAAAGGACAAAAATAGGATACCAACATTTCACTTTTGATGCGTTTTGGTTTTGAAAGTCTGTATGAAATCGTATAAGTTTTATAAAATGAAGAAGAAGAAGAGGGTTTCTGGAAGTGACATCAAAAACAATCTTTTGAAGGAAGCAAATTTTGTCTTCTATATCAATGTTAGTGATCAACTGCTGACCAGGTCAGCAGGTCAAGCTCTTGGTCAAAAAGCTATTGGAAATAGTGACAGAAATCATCTTTACACTGGATGCATTGGTATTTTTCAGCTTCCCAAAAGAGTTCTAATATGCAGCCAAGTTTGTTACCCACTGATTAGAAAGGATTCAAGAAAATGCCATTCAGAAGATAGCCAAGTACAGCAGAGAAATGATAGGCCCAAGAAGCATAAAAGGGCCAATTGTTTGATATAAATAGACAACTTCCCTGTGATGATCTTGGATTGGTCTCTTGAACTCACCACTTCAAATACTGCTAATCCTGACATAAGATGTCAAGAACTTGGAAATAGGTGAGAAACTATCCACAGTTAAATTTTGGTTAAACTTTAGAAAAAAATATTTATTTCTTGCATGCGTAGGTAGGTATGTAATATGAGATATACATCGTTTATATATCTTGAAATCCACTGAAAATGTCTTAAGTTTCTTATAGTTGCAGTACAGAAAATATTGCAGTTTAATAGGGGATGTAGGAATAATTTTTCAAAAGTACACATTGATTAATGAAAGAACAAGCACCAGAATTGTCAGTTCTGGATTTTTGAGCACAATTAGTAGCTAATGTGACCTCATTGTTGCATCCACTGTTATCTTTTGTACTTTAGATCCTCTGACCAGTAGAATCACATACCCCATTTAACATAAGAAGATCATCCTTGTAAAACTAATTTTGTCTGGGCAAGTGAAAAAGGAAGACAAATGATTCCATGACAAACTTTAGATGTATTTTGTGTGTGTCTTCTTGTCATACTTATTCAACAAGAATGACTTACATAGTCATTCTCAATATGACCAATATTAACCAGGAAAATAAATATTAGGAGAACTACATCTAAATCATTGTTTTTAAATCTTTATTGCAATTATGTGAATATACTTAGAGTTATCTTTATGAAGATATTACTAATGATTTCAATACAGTTATATTACTAAAGATTTTAAATATCTGTGACATTGCTGGTGGTTTGTAGAATGGATTAAGTTTTGAGATCACAATATCAGTATGAATTATTGCTAATTTAAAGTTAGAGTTAACAAGTGAAATTTGATTAACAAGTTGAAATTTATTCTAATTGATGTGTCAACAGTAATTGTAATATGTAATTTTTGCTTTACTATAAGGATGAACATACAGTAAATATTTGATGTACAGTTTTTCACTACCATACACCATAAATTACTTATATCATAAGATAAAAACAACATGTGAAGATAAAACTGAATAAGCATTGATACACAAAATGCTGGAGTTTTGCAGAAGCAGCCCACAGGAGAAATCACGCCTCACAAAGTTCTCCCACTGGTTCCCACACAACTGTCCTCACGTCACTTTGAAGCTGCACATTGGTGTAACACACATGGGAAACGAACAATGGAGAAAATAATGCATAGAATTAAAGAAACATAAAATATCTTCACCAGAGCCATGTGTTTATTAGAGAACAAACAGGGTATATTTATTTAAGGATACCTAATTGCCTGAAGCATCACCTTGATCCTACCTCTTGAATAGCTTGTTTAGGCCTGTAGAGTGACTAACGAATAAAACAAGGAACAGAAACTATTCCCTTCAACAACCAAACCTAAATTCTCTAATCATGATGTGTATCTTTTTGGATAAGACTTTATGAACAGCTTTGTACTGACATGCCCTATCAAGATAGATGCTTTTGCTTGCTTAGAAATAGAAATCATGAGCTATGAAAGCATTTCTCCTTTGCATTTTAAATTATTTTCTTTTGAACATGTAATTCTAAGCAAGTTTAACTGTTGAAATGAGGCCTTAGAAACCAATTTCATACATGATATTAGAGAAATCAGAGCTTCTTTATCTTTTAAGTTTTAGTGTATCTCCCAAAGGAATAAAAAGAGAAAAAGAAAAAAAGAAACCATCGTTTCATTGAGCAGGAATTTCTCAATTTGTATAAACTTAACCAAAAAATCATTATTTGATACATGAAGTTTTCCAGGATGATTGGTTCATGATTTTCATCATTTAGCTATTATTAAGTATGTCAGAAATAAATTGGAACAAAAGAGTTATATTTTATTGTTATGGATTATCAATTGTAATTTTAGGTGTCTTACCAGAAAATATATGATGGTGAAAACCCAATAGCCCATCATTATAAACTTTTTAATGATTAAGGACATACTTGATTTTAGACCACATGAACTGAAATGGGACTTGAGTCCAATAAATAGGAAATTTATATGTAAGTACAGAATAGACAAGTAGTTCATTTACATTTCCCCAACTCAGGTGACAAATTACAATTTCCATCACTTTTTAAATGTAACTGTGAAGCAAAATTCTCCTGCCTGAAGTACTTACAGTTTCTGGCAGGTCTTTAAAAAATGCATTGACCACAATCCACAGTTGGTGCTGAAAGCACGCATTAAACATAGCTGGTGGAAGTCTTTCTGAGTGCTGTTACATTCTTTCGTGTGTCTTTGTGTGGCACACAGTATGCAGGGGCTGGATATCTGTGCCATTGCTTCTTTCTGTTGCAACACCAGAATCCACAGAGCAGCCCCCCTCCTATGAAGAGGACCGCACTGCTCGCCCAGCCCAGGAAGAGGGCTGCGCCCAGCTCTCGTTTCTGACCGATGGGGACATTTGGACTGTAGAATTCCCTGATGATGATATTGGCTGTCCAGCACACTGGAATCAGAACAAAGATGCCCGTCAGGATAAAGAGGACTCCGGAAGCTCCCAGAAGGTATGCTTTTACCCTTTCATCAGAACCTGTACACTGGACCTGCTTCATGCCACAGATGCCAATAATTAGAGCAATAAAGGAGAGAACAACAGCCACACACATGAGAGCTCGTGCCGTTTCCACAGCAGGTGGGAGAGCCAGCATTGAGGTGTAGAACTTGCACTGCAGCCTGATCCTGGCTTGCCGGACACAGTTCATCCAGAGCCCTTCCCAGAGCCTCTCGAAGATGATGATGTTGCTGCCTATAAAAGCTGAGACTCTCCACTGAGGCAAAAGAGTTGTTGCAAGAGTCCCGACCATGCCAAGGAACCCAAGAGCCAGTCCAGCAATTTGCAGAGGATAAAATGCCATTCTCTCTCCTTTGAAAGTAATCCAACCTAGAGAGGTAGAAGATGCTTAAATGCAGAATGCAGAGGGTTCTTTGAGTCTAGAGCAGTCTCTGATAGTTTTCTCCACAGCTGCTGGCCATAATGCTTTCGACCAAATCAAAAGCAGTGACTGAACTTGGCCTGACTAGAAGTACCTGCTGTAAATGCCTGCTGTCATGGTATATGCATCTTCCTTTCTATGCGGATTATTCACTTGTCATATATAATTGTTGCCCAGCCAATAAGAAAGCAGCCAGTAATCAAAGTAGCATGTCAAGAAATACTTCATTCAGCTTTAGTATTTCTCATATTATTATTGTCTTAGCAATGGTGTAATTAACTGTCAAAGCTTCCATTGTGGATCACTAATTACAGAGCTGAAAACTTCCGTCTAAAAGTCACTCTGATATGGAAGTGTAAATATACGTGGTAAGCCACAACTAAAAATCATGCCACAAAGCCTTCAGTCCTTTAGACAGCAACTAAAAAACACTGGAGACCTTGAGATTATTACTTTCTTCTAATGCAAACCACTTTTTCTTAATACAAATAATCAACTCCGGCTTTACTAAAGATTTCAAGGTAGACAAAAATAGCTAGGTGTGAAATTCAAGAGTTCTACAAAAACTGTTGATACTTAGGAAGTGTCTTAAGGAGAATTCAAATTGCAGTTTGTTCTTCAGCTCTATTAAGGAAAAACACAGAAAAGCACTCCTCATAATTGATTTGGATTTACTTAAATTATTCTATGAATAATTAGGTAATATCTATCTCTGTTTTGAAATATAGTTGGCGTGTAAACTTTCATTAGATGTTTCTTTAATGACAACTTGGAATATGTCACAATTATGGAAACCCAAAGTGTATGTCATTTTGTAGAACAACGTAAAAGGTCTTTTGAATTTGGCTGTGAAATTCCTTAAAATTCAGATAATAGAGAACCTTTTAAAGTTGGAAGATGTCTTTGAGGACACCTTGTTTTTGTTTTACCAGCAGACATTGATACGGAGACTAGAGAGTACCGGCTAAGACTAATAGTGTGGGTAATGGCCCGACACCCACTGACAAATCTGGCTTCCAACTCACTGTGTTTGCCCCTCTCTTTGGTCTTATTCAAAAATATAAGGCAGAGATGCTTTGTTTTAATGCTTTTCATAATAGCATATGAATTTGGATACCCATGGTTTTTCAGACAGTTTTCAAAGAAAGAAATATTTCATTGAGATCATTTCAAAATTCAAGAGTGAAGCTGACATACTCTATTACCCTTTTCCTGACATTGATTGTGAACTGGAGGCTTAATGTGGGAAGCACAGATCTTTTCCTTTCCTGTCTATATTCCAAAAGAACTCAGTTTAAGTATGAAAACGATTCAGAAGCCAGCGTACCCAGTATTCTTTATCTGGAAGATAATATAGCCATTAAAAATTTTTCTATTTCATTGATGCCTAAGCCAAAGAGATGATAAGCAGCCCAATATAATCCAAATTTAAAAGCTCTGTTAATCCAATTAAGAAATACAAAAGCTCTTGGGTTTTCACGATCCTGTAAGGACTTCCTCTCTGAGGAATGTGAATCACGGAAGGAATATGTGACTGCTGCATAGCTGAGGTTCCCAACACCAGCTCAGGATGAGGGGTTTTCTGGGCCCTTTGTCTGAGCTGCTGAGTCACAGCCCTCGTCATTCCCACACTGCCGGAGTTTGTCACTGTTCCTCTGATTTATGCTTGCCAGCTCTTCTTCATTCGAGGTGCTCTTCCTCCTTCCATCTCATTTTTAGTGCTATCTTCCCTTTGTCTTTGGGAGTTTGCCCTTTGATACTCCTTTCCATTTGCTTGATTTTCTTCCATCTTGAGCATCTGGTCTGCACTACAAGTAAACATAATGAGAGCATATGTTTACTTAGACTCTGGAGGCACACGCTGAATATAAGAATAATATGAGGAACATAAATAATGTAGGAGCTTTGACTTTACCCCTTACAGCCAAAGTCAGTTGTCAACGCCATCTTTGCCTTTCTTCTTCTACAAGTAGGAAGAGAAATTGCTTTCCACTTCAATTTTTCTTCCATTCTGATCTCTTTGCCTTGTCTTGAGACCCTTGTCCATTGACTACTTCCTCCTTCCATGACAGCTGTGTTCAGTCCCTCTTACTGAGTTGCCCTTTAGAAAATTGATATTCAATTATTACCTTCTATTTTAAAGTTCAATGCCTACATTCTCTAAAGATATACTTTATCTCTGTATATTTCTTTTTTTAATTTTTTTTTTTTTTTGGTCTTTTTCATTTTTATCAGGACCAGGGATTGAACTCACGACTGCCTGCTTGCAAGGCAGGTGCTTATGCCGCTGAGCTAAATCCCCAGCCCCTATATCTGTATATCTTTTGGTCCACTCACATTTGCCAGAACTCCACATGTTTAAAAAAAAAAAAAAGCCTTCCTTTACCATGCCTCTCTGAAAACTTCTTAGAAAACATACCTTTCTTGAAAATTCTCACCTTTATCTTTAAAGAATACTACAAAATTTTTCTTATTGTTCTTTTCTGTGAAAGTAACAACAAATCACTATTTTCTTATAAGACAGGAACAATCATGTGTTTTGTGGAGAGATTTGGTCTTCCCCTGCTGGCTTAGCCACACATTTGAGTAAATTTTTCAGCCTCACAAAATTGTCTTTTCTACACAATCAGAGTAATAATAATGCCAATCTCATAGGGCTGCTTTGAAAACTGAACTTAGGCATTTTGTGCAGCATAAGTTTGTCCAAATCAAACACTCAGGAAAAGTTTGTTTTCCAAAATTTGTCTCCAATGCTTTTGTTATATCAAAATACTTATTTTGAATACCCTGTTTCTGCTCATTGTCAGTCTCTCCTTTTCATAGATATCTTAGCTAGTTGTTTCATTTGCTCATTCCCCCCAGTGCCCGTGTATAGCTCTGGACCCTTCTCCCCTCACCTGCTAGGGAGTCTCAGGAAAACTTCCACTTCTCCTACTACCTACTGTGCTCCAGTCTTTTGCTATCCCAGGGGGCTGTTTGAAAAGTGACACTCATTCAAATCATTTCCATCCATGGGGGCAGTCTATACCCATTGAATCATTGATACAAGGATATAAGATGTCAACCTGAGAGCCCCGCTGGGAATTAAATCCCGTAGGTAATTCCAGCTCCAGAATTTACTTTGGAGTCAGCTGAGGCCTTCATGGAGTCTACACCACAACTTGACTTCTCTCCATGCTCAAACCCATCCCTTTTCTTCTTTTTCCTCAGATGCGGATGCTATAAGAAGAAATTCAGTAACTTCTACTTTATAGTTTCCCAGAGAATCTAACCACTTGTTGACACTGTATTCTAACTTGTTAAGTCTGGTTCTTGTTCTAATTTAGCTCTTAAATATTCCCATGTGGATCAGTTTAATAATGTCATTCCTGGTTTCCTGTCCTTTGACCATATACTTCTTGGATTATATTCCACTGAGAAATCAGAAGACCTTGCTGAATTGAAACTTAATCATGTCATCGCTTTACTGAAAAAGTTCTGATAGCTTACCACTGCCTCCAAGATAAAACAAATGTACCTTTGCATCACACACACACACACGCCTTCATTTTGGCTTCTGCTGAATTCTAAAACTTAGCTTATTACCATGCCTCTATTCTATGTCCCCCAGAGCTTACATTTTAGTAAATGTCATAAATATTAAAAATCCATTAACATAATACATGGCATTAAAATTTAGATACAGTGATGGATTTTTAAAAAGAGTATGAACAAAGTAGAAACAGAAGTGATCACAGCATTAATTATAAGATGAAGAAATCATTAAGAGGAGTTAGCCAGATAATCAGGCAATGTGCGAGATAAACATCAGCCTAGCAGGGAGTAAGTGTGAGTGAGGGCACTGAGGCCAGTGAGAGCTCCAGTCTAATGTAAACAGGAGACCTTACGCAAGACAGGAGTAGGACTGAGAGGAGGTAGCAAATGCAGGCAAGAAATGGATATGCAGAGCCATGCGAACAACTTAGTAATCTAAGATCAGTGCAAAGCTGGCATTCACACAATCAAGTCTCAAGTCTAAATTAAACAGCACAAAACCAAAAAGTAAATTATCATTCACCAAAACTGTATGGTCATTTGGGAGGAATAACAAGGCACCAATTGGAAGTGAGGGACAGTAAGCAGGTAACTGAAGTGGCCCAAATGAAAGTACATAGACACTGTATGGAGGTGTGGCTCAATTTCTGTTATGGGCAAGACACATGAATAGTGAAGGTGAGTGGTGGAAATAGAGAAAGGCATCAGAGATGACTATGCCATGATTTACATAAGTGTCATTGTACCCAGGGGTGCATGTGTCCTGGGCAAGACCATGAGGTATGAGTGGTCTTATAGAGAATGAACAAGAGTTGTTTCCAGAACAGGGTTGTCTGCATTCAGCCTAGTGATAAATACAGAAAAATAGATGTTTCTGACCTCTGGACTGTCTCGATTGAACTTTTCTTTTTTTTATCGGTACCAGGGACCGAACTCACGACCGCACACTTGCAAGGAAGGCTTATGCTGCTGAGCTAAATCCCCAGCCCTCAATTGAACTTTTCTGTAAGAGCCCATCCTGTCCACAAATTATCTACTGTTCATCCACAGTTTCTGAGACTTATTCTATCACTTTGTCCTCCTGGGACTTATATGGAATCTTAGAGGATCTAATTTAGGTTGAAAACTTTTTGACTTTTGTCTGTATAAATTGCTGTATCAGCTTCAAGTGGATAAGAATAGAGGTAGAATACCAGAATGGGAAAATCAAGGACACTCAAAGCGTCCTAATCTTACCTTGCTTCTCTCACCGTTCACGAATTCCACACCTGAAGATGTTCAGACATTCTCCTAATTTACTGTATGAATTTTGAAAAGTATGACCTTACCTCTCTTTGTCAATTGAGTTCGTAGCAAGGATAAATGAGTCAGAAAAAAGTTTTAACTGGTTTGAATCTGGGTAACAGTAGCAGCAACATGGAGTAGGTAAATATGTGCAATGCATAGGAGATGAGATCAGTGGGGCTGATTTGATGGTGTGTGTAAACTATGTGTATGCACACACAGAGACACAACTGTGCATGTCATATGTCCATTGGATCCCTGTTTACTCCATTATTACTTTCTATCA